CTGACCTTGCATTCTGCTAAGTTCCAATCCCCCTGTGCTGCCTATGGTCCCCTGTGTACCACCCACCAGGGGTCAGTCCTGAGTACAGAGCCGGGAACAGCCCCTGGAATAGCCCCTGCATGTGGACCCCAAACCAAAACAGAAGAAAGAAAAAAAAGAATCCTCTAAAGCCTTTTCAAGAACCATCCCCTACCAATACCTCCTCCCGGGCTCCTTTGATTCAGGTTTCTTTGCTAGACTTGCTCCAGGGCGCTCTGAGCTGCGGAGGGCCTGCGTGGGGACGGGAAAGGGTGCGGGGTGGGGATGGGAGCGATTGAGGGAAAAGGGAACAGGAAGCCGGGCGAGAGAAAAAAGATTCCCACGGCCGGCCGCGAGCGCGCGGGGAGGCGCCAGGGCAGAGTCCGAGCAACCCCGGGGCTTTGTAGTTTACAAGAGCGACTCCAGATTGTGCTTTATAATTTGGTGTCGGTTTACAAGCCCAAAGGACTTTTGTTTCTTCACCTAACAAGTCCTTAGTCACGGCCTGACCCCTTTTAACCGAGAGACCCCGGGCTGGTGCTAGACCCTTGCCTTCTAATTCAAAACGAGAACGTGGCAATCTGCTGGCCCCTCCCGGGGCGACTAGCTACTCCCCGCCTCGAGATCTAAGCGAACCTTTATTGAGCTCCTATTACGTGGAAACTTCGATACTAGTTTAGAATCTTCCCAACTGCGCGGCCAAGGAAGGTGACTCTTCCCACTTGCAGAAAAGGCAACCCAGGAGCAGGAAGAGCGAATGCACCGAGGTCGGGAGGAACCAGCCGCTCAGAGTCCAGGTTTGGACTCTCAATGCCTTGGAATATTTAGTGCATTGACCCGTTAGTGCAGCCTGGGGTTCCTCAGAGTTCTTGGAAACCGGTCGCTAGAGGAGAATTTATTTCCCTTTTTCTCCCAGCGGTCCTCACCTCTCAGCAATGGGTGGGACAGTGATTCTTAGGAGGGCTGGCGGGGCATTTTGGGTCCAGAAATGGAACAATTAAGCTGCATCACTTTTGCTGTCCCAGTCCCCCAAGTAGCGTTGATGGGACGCTGGGAGGGTCGAGGAGAGAGGAGAAGGGAGCACTGTGGAGGCAGCTTGCCAAACAGTGCAGGACCCACCCACGGGGCTCCCTCCCTCCCACCTGCTTCCTGGAGGAAGCACTGGAGTTTCTTCTACCTGGGGATGGACGCTGCGTGGGCAGGGCTGAAGTTCTCTGACTCTGATCCTACCTGCTCAGGGCCTTACTCTTACTTCCGAGGCCCTGGGGACCAGTGCCCCGGACCTCAGCCTAACTGAGGTCTCAGACCTCAGGGTTCACTCTCCCGAAATTCCCTTCGTTTCCACTTTACAAAGCTGTCTGGAAAACTCGTTTCTAGGACAGTACAACTTCTATATTCTAGGTAGGAAAAGTGTCTGTCGTTCAGTGGCCCTTCTGACTCTCCTCTCCTTTCCAGGGATCCTTTCCCCTCCATCTAATAGCCTGCAGTTAACAAACGGAGGTGCCTGATTTTTTCCTCAATGTTCAGGAGGGTGAAGGGCCAATACGCTCATTGCCCTCAGCCCACCAAAAACTGATACACTGAAAGCCCAACGTGCCAACGGTAGCGCTCACTCCCAGCGGCGGTGGGGTTCATCTCTGCCTTGCTCTCGAGGAAGCGCCGAAATGCCTATTTACAAAGGCAAGAAAAAAAAAGAAAAAGAAAAAGCAACAAAACACAATGAGATGATGAAACTGGGCCAGTGTTCTGTTACAGGCTTGCAGGAGGGGTGCTTATCATGTCGGATGCCCAACCCAGAAGGGTGTTCAGGGGGATAGAAATAAAAATTATTAGCGCAGACTGCGGGCATTCTGGGTGGAAACTAGGGGGCTCAGCGAAGTTACTGTGTCTTCTCCCATGGAGGTGCACTCCAGCCTCACGGTTCCCCTTCCCCTCCCCTCCCTCCACCCATTGAGAGAGCCCTTAGAAGCGCAGTTTCCTCTTAGGCAAAAAATCGGAAGAATGCATGTTTCTGCTTTGGTTAGGAATTCAAATGCTCTAAAGCAGATTAATAGGTGAGGTTTGCCGCGGAAGGGAAATAGCAAAAAAAGGTGAAACTCACTGATTCTGAGCTAGTGACCAGCAAGAGGCAGTGAAGGTGTTCAGGGCCCTGGGGTGCCATGTCTGAGAGTGTGCAAGCTCCCAGGTCGGCACTTAGTCTCCTAGAGCCCTGAGTGACTTGGGCAGCGAGAGCAGTAAGCAGGACCATCCCACTCCTTTCTTCCTAGGACATCACAATGGGCTCCGGTGCTTGGGGGAACAGCACCCCCATGAAGAGAAATTCTGAGCACTGCCAGATGTGCCCGCCCCCCCCAACAAAACAAAACAAAACGAAACAAAAACAAAAACAATTCTGGTGTCTGGTCCTCAGAAAAAACCACCCACCCTCACCAAGCTCTTATTTATTTATTTATTAATTATTTTATGGAACTCACCAAACTCTTGAGAATACCTGCGCTTCCGACTGTCAGAATCTGTTTCCTCGCCGCTTTGTTCCCACTTCTCTGAGAACTGGACTAATTTATCCTTTCTGCTGGAGTCTCGAAAAAACAACGTTAGAATCAACTCAGCAAGTGCCTTTATTTTAGCAAATACTCATTTCAGGCCCACTGTGTGCTGGGTACAAGCACAGCCAATTTCCTAGTCTAATTTTTTAAATCGATCTCGAGAAACTCTAATTATTTACAGGGGAAAAGCATCGAAGTAACTTTAAATGTAGTTAAATAGAGCGCAAGAGTCGAATTCAGGGGCTAATTCCTTCTTCGGTATGCTGGAATTTAACTTTTGTGAAAGTTCCATGAAGGAATTTTTGAGAGAAACTGGAGACGGTTTACTTTTCCCTCTTTATAAACACAGTCATTCACACTTAAAAAAGCATTTAAAAATAAAAGAGCTTTCTTAAGAAATACGCCCGGAGTATACAAAAACCTATATTTTAATACCATAGATTTCCTTTCTCCCCCATAATTGTAAAAGCAATCCACATAGAAAAAAAAAGCAAGTGACGTAGAAGTCCTGGCGACACGCCTGTCTCGCGGGCACGGTGAAGGTTAACGAGGAACTGCTTTGCATTTCGGGGATGAGCCAGCCGTCGCCACGAGAGTATCCCCGGATTACTTTGAGGCTACCTGGCCGCAAGGAAACCGCGGATTTAATCTCGCAGGTCGGATGCCTCTCTGGGCACCCCTTAAGGAGGGAGGCCTCATTAACGCGCCCAACTCCCGGTGAACGATCGAATCACGTACATCTCAGGGATGTGGATACAACAGCGATACACAGTAGCCTTTCCGATGTGTTACCTTCGGTTGCGGGCAACGCGATTCGTAAGAATGTATCTCTGCTTGTTTCCTAGTCCGTGAGAGTAACGGAGCCTTGAGTCCCGCAGACTGCCCGCACCCTTGAGGTTTAGATCTGGGATAAAGTCACCCGGCTACACCGAAGGGCCCGCCGGCAGGAGGCTCCTCGCCGAACGCTGCTGGGAGGAGCGCGGCAGCCGGGAGGAGGAGGAGGAGGAGGAGGAGGTGGAGGAGGAGGAGGAGGAAAGCGCCGAGCTGATGCTCCTCGGCCAATCAGCGTGCACACCGCCTGACAACCGGCCAATCAGCGGGCGCAGATCTCGGGGACCCGAGCGGATAATACCGGGGAAGGGAGCCCAGGCTGGCGACTGCAGCCAGGGGCGCTGCGCCGCCCGCAGCTGCGCGCGCCCGCCCGCTTTTCCCCGGAGCCGGCGATCTGATCCGGGCCAGGACGGCCCAAACCTTCTCGCCCAACTTGGGTCCGAGGAAGCCGAAAGCCGTTTGGAGGAGGTGAAGTGCCCGGGGCGGCCAAGGATCGAGCAAACCTTGGCTGAGTCCGAGATGTGCGTGGCGAGGCCACTGAGGACTTGATTCACCTTCTCCGGTGAATCCAGTGGTGAATCCTCCCGGCTTCCAGCTGTCTGCCCCCGTTTTTTTGTGGTAGGGTGTGACGGCCGCCCCCCGATTTCTGTGTGCGAGCACAGCCTGCGGTCCAAGAGCCAGTTCCCAAGGCTGGATAGCTTTTGCCTCGGCTCCTAGCCCGGGCTTCCAGAATCTTGGTGAGTGCAGTGATGTCGCTCGGGCGGTTGCAGGGAGGGCAAAGGGCTCGAGTCACCTTTCATTTCGTTTTGTTCCCCTTGGGAGTTTTGCCTCAAAGATGCAAACCAAGACCCACCGACCTCCAGAGGGTGCTTAAAACCTGCGCGGCCTAGCCCCACCTGGCTCAAAGCTCTGTTGCTGCCGGGCGAGCCTCTGCATTCAGTCCAGTGACTCTGATGACACTTAACTTGGGTTTTTCGTTGCCGGTGTGTGAGGGTTGCAGTGTGCCAAGTGGCAGCCTTCTGCAAGCGAGGCAGATGCGAGACACGAGAGAGGTGCAGGGTGCCAACCTCTCTGGGATCTCCGAGGTCCCTGGGACCACTAGGAGATCATTCTTCCCATCTATGTTAATGTCTTTCTCTTATTAGTTGGGGGAAGACTGACAGATCGCCTCAGCCGGTGTTCAGTGGCCACAAAACGTGTGTCTCTGTGCTGAGTGCGTTACCTTTTACTTGTCCCCGAAAACGCAGGCACAGCCTCTTTGAAAGGCCTGGGCTAAAAGGTCAGATGCTCGCAGAGCACTTAACGTTCATTGATGGAAACCTCGGTCGGGTTGGTGCATCCCTGGGGGGACCTTCAAGCGATCAGAAAGGCACGTATGCGTGAAAGTAAGGGATGTGCAGAGACCAGACCTTTCCCCGGCCGGGGAGGTGGGCCTGTGGATGCAAGACCCCGGGGCTGCGGTGGGCAAGTGGATGCAAGACCCCGGGGCTGCGGTGGGCAACTGGATGCAAGACCCGGGGGGCCTGATCCTTTGCGCCTTTTCGTGTCCTCCCCAGGGCGCGGGCGACTGACCGGCGGTGGGTCCCCGCGAGGCTCCGCTGTGCCATGGCCGAGCGGCAGGGGGACTGGGAGATCGACGTGGAGAGCCTGGAGCTGGACGAGGACGCCCGCGGGGCGCCGCCGCTGCCCCCCACGCCGCCCGGGTCCAGCCCGCCGCGCCCCGACGGGGACGGCGAGGATGAGGACGAGGACGAGGACGAGGACGTGGACGAGGAGGACGACGACGACGACGCGGAGGACGCGGGCGCGTGCCCGGGGGCCCCTGGCCGGCCCGAGCTGCCCGGGGCGCGGCCGCCCAGGGCGCTGCCCGCGGCCACTCCGCAGGCCTCGCCGGCCCCCGCGGGGCTCCCGGAGCGCGGCGCGAACGCGGGCGGCGGCGGCGGCGCGGAGCCGCGCAAACTGAGCCGCACGCCCAAGTGCGCGCGCTGCCGCAACCACGGCGTGGTGTCCTGCCTCAAGGGCCACAAGCGCTTCTGCCGCTGGCGCGACTGCCAGTGTGCCAACTGCCTGCTGGTGGTGGAGCGGCAGCGGGTCATGGCAGCGCAGGTGGCGCTCCGGAGGCAGCAGGCCACCGAGGTGCGTACGGCCGGCCGCGACGCCGCGCATCGGGGCCCAGCGCGGGGCCCTTGGGGGGTGGAGGGGAGGGGGGGCGGGGACTCCCTTCTCCCTCTCATCCCCCCTCTTGGGCGTGCATGGTTCGGGGAGGAAGCCCTGGGCATCCCTGGAGGGAGGGGGAGAGAGAGAGAGAGAATCGCTCCCAGAATTTGGTGGGGTGGGTTCGGTGCGGACGACCCGGCAGTGATGCGGCTCCTCGGAGATCTAGAACGAGGTTTGGAGCGGGAGGGGGTCGCACCTGCCTGTTCCGGGGGCCGGAGGGTAGGGGGGATGCTCAGGGATCCTCCCGCAGTCAGACAACACAGCAGCGCTTTTAGGGCTCGCCTTCCTCCCACCCCCACCGGCAATTCAGATTGGAAAGTTGATTTTTTTTATTAGCTTTTTGGGTCGCACCCTGCGATGCACAGGGGTTCCTCCTGGCTCATGCACTCAGGAATTAACTCCTGGCGGTGCTCCAGGGGGGACCCTATGGGATGCTGGGAATCAAACCCGGGTCGGCCGCGTGCAAGGCAAACGCCCTCCCCGCTGTGCTATCGCTCCAGCCCCCGAGGATCCACTTCTGACTCCTGCATGCAAATAGATGCTCTGGACCCCTGAGCTATCTCTCAGCCCTGAGTTTTAATTTTCATTTATTTACTTGTATTATTATTATTTTGCTTTTTTGGGTCACACCTGGCGATGCACAGGGGTTACTCCTGGCTCATGCACTCAGGAATGACTCCTGGTGGTGCTCCAGGGGCGACCCTTTGGGATGCTGGGAATCAAACCCGGGTCAGCCGCGTGCGTGCAAGGCAAACGCCCTACTCGCTGTGCTATCGCTCCATCCAGCCCCTGGAAAGTTAATTTGGGTGGTGGCCCGGGTTGGGGGTGCAGAAAGAAGCCCGCGGCGCTTCCTTGGCCAGGCCCGGGGCTGCCACGGTTACAGCGCGCACGCAGTTGGCAAGGAAGAACCAGGCCTTGCGCAGGGTCCAAGGCGCTTTCCCTGGGCTGGCACGACCGGGTGAAGTCCGGCCGAAAGTGCTGTCCCTCGGGCCAAGGTCATGCCACCGGGAGCTTCGGCGTCTTAGAAATTTCCCCAGAACCCCCTCGGCCACCCCAGAGGCTTCTTGAATTCGCCTTTTCTGGTGCCGCAGCATTGGGTGAACTCAGCAGAGACGCCTCGAGGGGCTAATCCCAGATTTTCCATTTTACATATTGGTGGGGAGGGGGCCGGAGCGTGGCCCACCGTTGCGAACAGGGCGCAGACCCCGAAGGAAGATTCCCCTTTGCCCACGGTCCCAAAGCCTGTGATTGCCCGGGGGAATCCAGGTGTTCCCGACCTGCCCGAGGCCTCGGCCCGGGGTCAGCGCTTCTCCGCGCGCTTGGAGCAGGCGGCCCGCGGCTCGCGGGGCCGGTGCGGGCACGGGAAGGCCCAGAGCCCCACAGACAGGTGACCACGGGATGAGACCGGGTTTCCCTGCATTCAGACTCCCTTGGCTTCCCAGGGTTTTTGCTTTTTTTACTCTCCCCGGTCGGGTTGCGCATTGAACGATAAAGTTTTCGCTCAGTACGGAATGCGGTGGGGAGTGGGACCATCTATGGGTTGGGAAGACTCACACCCCTCACCGGTCGGGGTGTGTGTGTGGGGGGGAGTCTTGTCTGGATCTCACCCCCTTTAAAGTGTCTCAGATTAATTTTAGCAGAGAGGCCCCAGAGAATCTCCTCATTGCGCCCGGGCTTCCAGCTCTTTTTGCTTTGCAGTTCAGGGGTGCTGATGTCGATTCACAGGGAATCACAGGAGGTGGAAAGGGAATGCATTTAGACCCCAGAGGTCACCACCTTCTTCCTGATCTCTCCCTTCCCCACACCCCACTCCCCAGTTTCCCTTCCAGCCCTATTGATTCAGTCTCTTGCATTTCCAGGACAAGAAGGGGGTTTCCGGGAAACAGAATAACCTGGAGCGCAAAGCTGTGTATCAGAGACAAGTCAGGGCTCCCAGTTTGCTGGCCAAAAGCATTCTAGAAGGTAAACCAACACGAAACTCTCCCCTTTAGCCCTTTAAGCCAAGTTCTGTGTGGGTCAAGCACGTTCCTTTTTCTTTTCTTTTTTCTTTTTTTTTTTTTTAATTCGTGTGAAGGAGCAATCTGAGGGAGGTTTTATTAGATGGGTATTCATCAAGGAAGGAAGTCAGAATGTGGGAAAATGAATCTCTCAGATATCCTGAGGTTTTTGGTCACCTAGTTTTATTGTCAATAATTAATGGACTAGCATGGATCGTATATGAAATTTGTCCCACTGAGATAACACTGCTAGTGATTTCCGAGCAGATATTTTGAAAGAAAAGGAATGAAGTACAAAAAAAAAAAAAACCCGCTTTAGTCATAATTGGAGCTAACTAGAATAGGACAAGTGAGGGGCTTAATTAATTAATACTCACAGGCACCAGTAAAGACCTTTCTGATAAAGGACCCAACCTTTAATCTGACTCTTTTTCACTGTCCTATTTTTCCTTCCTGGATTATCTACGTAATTCTTGCTATTTCACCCTTTATCTCGACATTCATGACAAATGAGATGGTAGAATCTGGAAAAAATTTTGAATCAAACAAGAGAAGTGGAGGTTGAGCTTGAACAATGTGAATTCCTAACTACTCTGTTTCCATTTTTACTAAAGCCTGAGGATATATTAATTTTCACTGATTTTTTTTTTTGAGGGGGGTATTCTGGGTGTTGAACTCAGGCCTCAGACATGTGAAGTATCTGTTCTGTCATACCTCAGTCACTAAATATTCCTGATATATTAAAGACTCTGAGATACTTTGATCTGATAAATAACATATTAACTATTGTTTTTGCCGTTTAAAGAAAAGAAAAATTTTATTTGCCCTAATCGTCTCCTCCGAATCATGAGATTCAGACTGAAAGGCAGATTTTAAAAGCAGATCATTGAATTCTGTTGTTTCTCACGGGGCTCCCACATTGAGTTGGTTCTGGATAGGTTTTAAAATATGTTTTCACCCTCTGCTCTGTACTTCTGACCTCAGTGTGGCTTTTCATATGCTAAAAGTGAATTTGGTTATAGACTAGGCAAACAGATTCATGAGGATCCGAACCACAAGGATAAGTTGAAATTGTGTCAGAGCAATTTGAGAAGTGGAAGGACTAAATGGAATAGTAAATTCAAGCAAATAACTTCCTGGCCAAGACCTACCATGGAAATGGAAACATCAATTTTCAAATTTTATTTTATTTGCAAATGAGTATGATGGGTTTCTCGCTATGTAAACACAAACATTGCAAGAGAGCCCTCAAACAAATTTGATAGTGGTGAGCTTGGACATGATGAAATACTCAAAATATTTTATGCCACCAGGAATTCTGTGCGTATTACATTAAGCTTTGCTTTGGACTTTGTCCCTGTTCATAAAACTGTGATGAGTTAATCTGTGCTCTAATGATTGCTTGTTCAACCGTTTTGGTGTCTGGTCAACATGATTAGGGCTTGGGAAAACGTTATTAAAATGTTAGTTTCAATACAGCAGGGAATCTCCTCTTCCACCCCTCTTTTATTTGTTTGTTTGTACCGGTCGTCAAGGGGAGAGGCTTTGGCTTAATTGTCCACCCCTGAGTCTGTTTAACTAGTTAACAGCTCTTTCCCGTTCCTGAGCTGCTCTGTCTCCTGAAGTCTCTCCTCTTTTTTTCTCCTCACTAATCTGCTTTAACTTTCTCTTTTTTCCTAGTTCACCTTGGATTATTCTACACCTGTAACAGTGGGTACATAATCAGCCATCTTTAGGAAATAAAAGTGACCTCAGCCCTAGGTAGAGATATCTTTTTCAATAATGTATAAAAAGATGACGTGAATAGTCATAACCTATCAACTGGAGCCAGAGGAGTGGTCTTGCTTCCTGACAGATAGTAGTCCGAGAAGCCTATTAACATTTCACCAGCAATATATGACGGTGAATAATTGTTTTGCTGATTGGTAGTGCTTCCCTTGCTTTGTAGGTTTCCATATTTCCCTTCTCGAGATGTTTATCTCTCTTGTATGCAATACTTACTCATTTTAGGCTACCGACCCATTCCAGCAGACACTTATGTAGGAGGGAGCTTACCTCTGCCTCCTCCAGTAAGTGACCGGATGAGGAAAAGGCGGGCCTTTGCTGATAAAGAATTGGAGAACATTATGCTGGAAAGAGAATATAAGGAGAGGGAGATGTTGGAAGCTTCCCAAGCTGCTGCCTTGTTCCTGCCCAACCGCGTGGTCCATGGACCTGAATACAGCTCCTACAAAAGTGCCTACAGCCCCACCCCGGTGGAACCACCGAGCAAAGACTTCTGTAATTTCCTACCCACGTGCCTTGATCTAACCATGCAGTACTCTGGGTCTGGGAATATGGAACTAATTTCTTCCAACGTCAGTGTGGCCACAACTTACCGACAATATCCCTTGCCTTCAAGATTTTTAGTTTGGCCCAAGTGTGGCCCCATCAGCGACACCGTTCTCTACCAGCAGTGCCTTCTGAACGCCACCACCTCAGTTCAGGCCTTGAAGCCCGGGGCCGGCTGGGAACTGAAGGGGGTGCGAGTCCAGGATGGACTTGGTGCAGAGCAGGACCTGATGCCACCCAAACTGGAAGCTTCTCTGGTGCTGCCCCCTCCTCCCGAGGTCCAGACCTTGAGAAATGACCTGCAAGGTCACCAGGCCATCCCAGAGAGGTCCGCATTCTCCCCACCCCGACGGAATTTCTCTCCGGTTGTTGAAATGGACTCTTTGGCAGCTCAAGGGCACGTCTTAACGAAGATCAGCAAAGAAAGCACCAGGCACCCTCTGCCACTTAAACATAATCCATTCCACTCATTATTCCAGCAAACGCTCAATGACAAATCAGGTCCCGAGTTGAAAACACCATTTGTCAAAGAGGCCTTTGAAGAGGGCCCCAAGAAACACAGAGAGTATTTAGTCAAGGAGAACCAGAAGTACACGTTCACAATAGATAGATGTGCAAAGGACCTTTTCGTCGCCAAACAAGTTGGAACGAAACTTTCAGTGAATGAACCGCTGTCATTTTCTGTTGAGTCGATTCTTAAGAGGCCTTCGTCTGCCATCACTCACGTCTCTCAGTGAAAGACTGCTTGAATGGAGCTGGATTTTCTGCAGACTCAGAGAGTTCTTAAACCACTAATCTTTTTTTTTGAGGAAAAAGTTTAAGATGTGTGTATAAAGAAATTTTTAATGTAAATGATGATTTCACAAATTCTCTAGGTTCATATGCATGTACTTTTCCCACGACGTAAATATATTTAAACTTAAAGATGAAAATTGCCTAGGAGCAAATTGTAAAGGTCCAGGCTTTGCACAACATTTCAAAAAGCAATAAAATTGACACTGTCTTCTAAAAAAAAAAAGCCCAGTTTTTGTTGAAGTAAATAGTTGTCTCTGTCCAGGCGATAAAGTGAGTCTTCATAAAATGTGTTATTTATTATTCTGTGATTCTGTGTGCTTTCAGATGATCCTAAATCATCCTAGGGGACCGTAGGAGGACTCGTGTAATGCTTTGGCTTTGAATTTTAGAAACCATGTCCATTTATTTGTTCATAACTGAGATAACAAAGAGCTTTAAAGAAAACATAGGGCAGATTGCCTGTAGAATCTTATTTTACGTGATTGAACAAAGTTGAATTAATTTAAAGAGAATTCAAGTGAAATACCTCATTTATTTATGGACCTGGGTTCTTGGACTCCATCTCTCGGGGTCCCAGTTTCTTCTGTGTTGGACATGTTCATGTAGGGTCTTAAGCATCCATTCTGGGTTGAATAGTCTGTGATTTTCAGCTTGCTGGGAATCACAGAACAGATTCCCTTGTCAAATGCGGTCGGTTCAAGCTATGATGGTCCATGACAACCCCCCACTTAGCTCATGTGTTACTTTGCTGTACACTCTGTAAGGACAGTCATGGCAAGGCCTTAGAGATACATCCAGTCAGAACTCTCAGCCGGTCTGGGAATATCAGCTTTGTGGATCCCACATTTTTTCACCAGTGTCAAAGGGTGTCAGTGTAGTTCTTTACTGAGATAAAAACATTTTCTATTCAAATTGTTTCAACTGCCGTTTGCTGAAGTCTGCAGATGTTTATCGCAGCCAGATGGTGACTTCTTGATTCTGTTTTTGGTTTTGTTTTTCCAATTTTGATTCTTTTTTTGGCGGGAGGAGGGGCATTCTTGGTGATGTTCAGAGCTTACTCCTGACTCTGCACTCAGGAATTACTCCTGGTGGTGCTTGGGGGACCATAGGGGATAGTACTAGGATCAGACCCATGTCAGCCATGTGCAAGGCAAGTGCCCTCCCCTTTATAAATATCTCTCTGGCCCCTACATTAAAAATTTTTTTTTGGCACACTTAACCCAATGCTCAGGACGTACTCCCGGCACTCTGATCGCTCAGGGGTTACTCTGGGTGGGGCCTGGGGACCGTATGTGGTACAAGGGTTGACTGTGTGTAAGGCAACTGCCTTAACTCCAGCCTCAGTTTCTTGATTCTTTATTTGTTTTATTTGTTTTTGTTTTTTTGGGGTCTCACTCAGCGATGCTCAGGAGTTACCCCTGGCTCTGCACTCAGGAATTCCTCCTGGCGTTGCTCGGGGGACCATATGGGATGCTGGGAATCGAACCTGGGTCGGCCACGTGCAAGGCAAATGTCCTACCCGCTGTGCTATTGCTCCAGCCTCAGTTTCTTGATTCTTAACCTTTATTTCTCTTTTTTAAATTTCTCTCTCTTTTTATCTTTTGCTTTCCTTAACAAAATGTTAAATGTTGTTTTGTATATTAAGTGAGAGTAATACATTTATGAGAGTATCGAATTTATCCCTGAAGAGCTTGACTGTAGACGTCCAGTTCTAAGATATGTCATTGTCATTTCAAGATGGAAAATCAAGATCCAAACACCTTTAATTTTGCCATGGAGTAGGTTTTTGCCTCCAGCTCTGCTTTCATTTGGGTAACATGACCGTTAGGTGGGTGTGTTAAATGTGCCAAGAAATTTGGCAGTTTAAAGAGTGTCTTTGTCTGGAAAACATTTAAAACTTAAAAATAATTTTGCTACTGATGAACTGATATAAACCTCCAGGGGTTCTCTGAATTGTTTCTTAAAATCAGCATCAATTTCAAAGACAACAAGCCAAACCTTAGATTGATTTTCGGTTTGTACTTGTGAAATAATCCTTGGTTTTGTAGAGTCAAATTTATTTATTTTCACTATTGCAGAAGCCAAACCAAGTGGAAGTTTGCCAGAGAAGAAGGAAAAAAAAAAAGCAGGCAAAAATCCCAATAACTGTTGACGATTATCATGAAGTAAAACATGTTTTCTAGCCCTGAGTCTAATGGCATGGCTAGCAATACTTTTTGTTGCCTTTTCAGATATTGTATCTGATTTATTTCTACATTACTTCATTACTCGAGCGGGCCCAGTAACGTCTCCATTGGAGACTTTGCTGTTACTGTGTCTGGCATATCGAATACTCTCGGTAGCTTGCCGGGCTCTCCGAGAGGGGCGGAGGAATCGAACTCGGGTCGGCCATTACGAATACAATACTAATTACTATCTTCCTATCAGGAATCTATTTTTTTTAATCAAAGAATTTTATTCATTTAATTATTTTTGGCTCGGGGGCCACATTTAGCTGTCCCGTGGCTTGCTCCTGGCACTGCACTCAGGAATCACTCCTGGCAGGGTCAGGGGTGGGGGTGGGGGACCATGTGTGGTCCAGGGATGGAGCCCTGGTTGGCCGCTTGCAAGGCAAGTGCCCTCCCACTGTTTTATCACTCCAGCCCAGGAATCTATTTTTTTTTTTGTGTCAAATGCTAAGTGAACCTTAGCACGGACGCTATCGAGTAGCTAAGGATGCAATGTGAGAACACACATAGAATAAGCTCGGAAATCTCAATGAAAAATCTTTATGCATCGCTCTCTCTCTCTCTCTCTCTCTCTCTCTCTCTCCCCCTCTTCTCACCTTCCCTCCCTCCTTTCCTGTCCTCCGTCCTTTCTTACCCTGTTTTAATATTTGGAGCATTAATTGTTCATTTTCCCATTTTTGTTGCTTAATGAACAATTGAGACTTCTTTTCATTCTTCTATGCAAAACATTTTATTTTGTGTTTTGTTTTTTGGGTCACACCTGGCTGTTCTTAGGGTTCACTGCTGGTAGTGTGCTCAGGGATCACTTCTGGCAGTGCTCACGGGACTGTATATGGTGCTGGGTATTGACGCTGTGTGGGCCGTGTACAAGGCAACCACCCTGCCTGCTTTATTGTATCTCTAGCCTTTTATTAATATTTTAATATCACTAAATGAATTCAGTTGTTATTGGTTTTAATGTTTTTTCTTACATTACTAATGACCCAAGATTTTTTTTTATTGTTCTTGAACATTTATGAGGGTGATTACTATGAAGATTTCTTGTCACACTGTACATTAGCTCTGCTGTAAAGATAAATTCTTTGGGGGAATTTCACACTTACAAAATCTGCCATTATTCACTCAATGAGAGGATTGAACTTAGCTATTTGCACCTTTTAATCATTTCACTTCCATAAAAGTTACTATCTGACTGTACAGTCAAAGACCATTGCCATCATAATAGTAAACTAAACTGAGGTTTTATTTAAGCATTTCCAATGTTCAAGGTAATACATGGATTTGCTTGAATAACTTTTACAAATGTGTAGTCAAATATAGACCTCTGCAATTTAATTCACAATGTCATTCAACGTTAATGACATGTTTTCCTTCCCTCTTAACTGATTACACTGTTATTATTTTGCTCATTTTCCAGTTCTGAATAGTTATCAACACGGTTTCTCAGTCTTTTTGTTTTTGATTTTCGGGTCTCAGCCTGTGGTTCTCAGGGACTCCTGGTTCTGTGCTTCAGGCTTGTTCTGGGCTGCACTTGAGGGACACTGTGGTCCCAGGGACGGAGCCTGGACTCCTGCATGCCAAACATGTGCTCAGCCTGCTGAGCTATCTTCCCAGTCTTAAATGGCTCGGTCCCCCATGAATCCCAATAAATGCAGATTCTGCTGTGGGGGCCTGTGGGGACCTGAGAGTCTGTATTTCTAATAGTTCTGGGTTGTGCTGGTGCTTGTGGTCTTTAAGCTGCACCTGGGGTAGTGAATGTTCACAGCATTTTGGCCATTTTATTTATTTTGATTTTGATTTTTTGCTTTTTGGGTCACACTCGGAGATGCACAGAGGTTATTCCTGGGTCTGCATTCGGGAATTACTCCTGGTGGTACTCAGGGGACCATGTGGGATGCAGGAATCGAACCTGGGTCGGCCACGTGCAAGGCAAACAGATGCCCTACCTGCTGTACTGTTGATCCAGCCCCTATTTTTTATTTTTTAAAAATTTTTATTAGTGAGACACCATGAGGTACAGTTGTAGACTTACAAATTGTTGTGCTTGGGTTTCGATTATACAATGATCAAATACCCATCTCTCCACCAGTGCCCATTTCCCACCACCATGGATCCCAGCATCCCTCCCACCCCCCACCCCCCCATCCCACCCTGCCTCTGTGGCAGGGCATTCCCTTTTGTTCTCTCTCTCCTTTTGGGTGTTGTGGTCTGCAAAAGAGCCAACCCCTATTTTTATTTTTTGTTTTGGGGTCCCACCTGGCAATGCTCAGGGTTTGCTCCTGGCTCTGCACTCAGAAATCACTCCTAATGGTACTCAGGAGGAACATATGGAATGCTGGGGATTAAACCCACGTCAACCCACGCACGGCGAATTCTCTACCTGCTGTGCTATTGCTCCACCCATATTTTTGTCATTTTAACGCATACTTTGAGTACTTTTATTTGGGTTCTCAGTTATAGTGCAATGGAATTAGTATAAATATTTTAGTATGTATGAATAATTAAAAAAATCTCTCAAAATCCAGAAAATATACATCAAGAGTGAGCCATAATGTATGCTATTGGTGATTGTGATATGTCAATGAAGGGTCGTCAATTATAACAGACTTTTTGGTGGGTGTCGTTCATTATAGGGAGGGTATACATGAGTCAGGGAGGTGCGGATCTGGGAAATCTACGTACCTTCCTCTCAATTTTATGGTGAATATGCAACTATTGCGAAAAATAAATTATTAAAACCTTTTTCTCTTCTGGGAAT